ATCAATGTTGAAAACAGTTGTGCTGCTTTATATTTTTATGAAAACTGAGATACATTTTTTTTCAGGATTCAATTGCTGTTCTAAAGAACAGCAATTATTTAAAATAGAAACTTTTGTAACCTTATAAATGTCTTTACTGTCACTTTTGATCAATTTAATGCATCATCGCTCAATATTTAATTGGTAGTATATATATATATATATGTACAACATTTATTTTAGTTATTTTCTGACTGGTGGGTGGGCTGATGGAACTAGTCCTGTATAAATAGGCTGGTTTTGCATGTTTAAAAATGTGAACTCTACAAGAGGCATATACTATGCAAACTGTCTATCAGCTAAAAATGGGAATCAGTTCTGAAAAACTGTTTCCCAACTGTTTTTACATTCAAATATGCTTGAAAATTTTGAATATACAATATTAAAAATAACCAAGAAAATTGGAAATTCACCCCATTTTCTAAATGCATATTAATGACCAGTTTATCAATTTTTAAAAATTTTGAGCTTGTAATTTTTAAATCAAAAGGTAAGTGAAACGACAGACTTCTCTCTGGTGACGTATGGCAGATTTTCCAGTCATTTAGTCCGCTTAAACGCTGCCCCTTTCTTACAACTGACCGCAAGATCGCATTCAGATCTGCCTCCATCCAATCAACAACCGATGTATAAAACCAAGTTCCTGCCGTACATTTTTCCTTTTTTCATGATCCGCTTCACTGATGTATGTCACAACATGGAAGAACAGATCTGCCGCTATTTCTTTTACACTGACTTTAATAGCATAAAAATAACTTTATAATCTTGATTTCCAGCGATAAACACTGCGCACCTGTTATGGAGTCGGTAAGGTCCTGATCTCGTGTCTTCCTCAGTAGCCGCACCAGCGCGGGAATTCCGTCACAGTTCTTGATGGCTATCTTGTTATCTGGATCTCGTCCGTATGAGATGTTCTTGAGCGCTCCGCATGCAGCATAATGAACCTCCTTCTTTGGGTTATCCAGCATGGACACAAGGGCAGGGATCCCCTTCAGTCGTCTTACTTCTGACTTCACCTGCAAAGACAGAGAGGAAAAACTGAGTGCATAGAATCTGCATATTATACCATGTCATTTGAGTGACTTCTCAATCCTCACCAAAAGCCGGTACTAAGTGATGAAACCACAGGCAATCAGTTTGGGTTGATTGCGTTTTTAAAATAATACTTTTAATCGGCAAAGACACACTACTAAAAAGACAGTAAGACATTTATAAGGTTACAAAAAAAATTTTTTTTTTTAAATAACTTTGTTTATTAAAGTTTGTTTACAAAAATGTTAAGCAGCACAACCATTTTCAACTTCTTTATCATCATCAAATCAGCATATTAGAACGATTTCTGAAGGATCATGTGACACTGAAAACTGGAGTAATGACTGCTGAAAATTCAGCTTTGCTTTATAGGAATAAATTATTTTAAAAAATATTTTAAAAGAGAAAACAGTTTTGTAAGATTCCACAATACTACTGTTTTTTAATTAAAAACCTACTGACCCCAAACCTTTGAACAGTATTTTATTTGATGTTTAATATACTGCTATGTGGGCGGGAATACCCAGCATAATGTGTACGTGCATACTAACCTTATCATTCTTAAAAGTGAGATGTTGCAAGTATGCTGCAGCGTTGCTTTTGACAGGGTCCAGGCGGTAGTTGAGCATAGCGATGACTTCAGGAAGTTCCGGTTGCCTCCATGATGTGGGGGCGGGGCCTTTACGAAGAGTGCTGTCCAATGATGCCATGCTGCCTCTCTCTCCCTGAGCCAGCGGAGCACCTCCTCCCCAATAATACATATCACCAGCACCACTCATATCACCATCCAGTGTGCCCTCATATGACCTACACAAAACATACAGCAGTTCAAACTGACTGATTTTTTACCGCTGCCTTCTGTGGAACGCAAAAGACTGTATTTTTAAAGAAAGTTGGTAGCCAGACCATTACAGTTCCAATTAGCGTTCCATAGCATGGATCAAAAAAGTACTATGGGATCTGAAATTGTTTGTTTACCAACATTTTAAAAAATATATTTTTTGTTTCACAGAAGACAGACAGACAGACAGGTTTGGAACAACATGAGGGTGAGTAAATGTAATTTTTGGGTGGACTATTCCTTTAATACATTTCCCAATCAAAATGATTTTCTTACCGTATAACAGAATACACTTACCCTGTCCGGCGTGGAGGTGGGGCATGGTGTGCATGTGCCAACCGGGGCATTGTGCTGTAATGCATGGGTGGTCCCATGCCATAATCGGGTTCGTCGTATCCCAGGCTCCTCTGATCATCCTCCAAGCCATATGGCTCTGGTACAAAGCGCTGCATGCCAGAGATCTCCATAGCACTGCCCATACGTCCTACCTGGGGCTGGGCTGCATACGGGTCCAACTGCGGCCGGCTGTGGGTGCGATAGGCGGAGTCCAGCGTGCGATAGCCATCCACAGGCCTAAAGAAAAAGAATCGGGTAAATTAATTAGTACATCTACAATGCTTGATCTCATCCAATGCAAACGCAACAGGCACAAACCTGTAGCGGTCATCCATTCGTGTCCCTCGGTTGAGGCTGGCGTAGACTTCAGAAGGAGGGCCGCTGCGGTAATCATCATAGCCACCTGGTGGTCCATAGTGGTAGTTACGGGGGACAGTAGTGGTGGGGTAGTCCATGGGGCCACCCGGTGGTCTGTACACACGGTCCATTGGGGTATTATAACTGGGTATCCCAGTGACTGAACCTGTGCCATCCAGGGAAAGTGTGTCGGAGACTGAGGGAATGACTGTTCGTGTGGTGGTCATCTTTGTGACCTTCTTTACCTGATAAGAGGAAGCTCCATCATTTATCTGTCCAAAGACAAGTGGTCATACTTGACAAAATGTGGCAAGTTAAATTAGACTGCATATCTACAGCAAACTTACTGTAGTCTCAGTGCGACGTGTGGTTCCATCATCACTGGTTTCAACTGAAATAATTGGCATCGACTCATGGGGGTCCTCCTCGACTGTGACCGACTCAACAATATGACCAGGGTCCAACATCCTGTACTGTAGCACAGACACACATATAAAGAACAATAGTGAACATAAGCCAAGAACAGGAAGTGTGTCCACTCACACAAACACACCATCTGGAGCATTCGTAGGTGCACGTTAATGACGACACAATAACAAGCGAATGCAGAAAGAAAAAAATATGCGCAGGAGTATCACACAGGGTTCAACAGTAAGGACAGCCTGAGACTAGTGCTGTGTCAATACTCCATCTTTTTCAAAGCATAAAAACAGATGAACAATCAATAAGTAAGCATTTGAATTCATACAATGTACATTATACCTTTTTTCCTGAATAAAATGTTTACAAAAAAAACAGAAATGTGTTTTTCCTCAAGCACAAAACTATAATAATAATAATATTTTATAATAATGACAATAATCTTAATTGTTGTGATATTATTATTATTATTAGTAGTAGTAGTAGTAATAATATATTATTGAATAATTTAGATTTTAAAATTAATTATAATTTCATTATTATTATTATTATTATTATTCTAGTTGCACAACTGTAACATGTAAATAAAATTATCCATTGCGAACACACCATACTAACCTGAGTCCCGTTTATGTATCCCTCGCTTAATTTGAGCCGTTCTAACTCTGCATCACCAGTGACACGGCCGTTCTAAAGACATGGAGAGGGAAAAAAAATTACAACAGACCAAAAAAAGAAGAGCAAAATAGACAATGAAGCCATCAATGTGGCCAGTGATCATGTCGGTGAACAATGCTAAACATTCAGAAAGACCACAAATTGTAGCAAGACCTTGAGTAAATACGGCAATGTATAAACATTATCTTATGAATGTTCATGCAAAGGATGCATAGGAATAAAGAACACTTGAAACAAAATAAATGGCTTAAGTTAATGAGACCACTGCACAAGAGAAACATGACATTATTGCGGAAATGGACGGATAAATGAATGCCAGGAATGAGAGAAGGGGGTTCACCACTACCAGATAATATTACTCATGCTTTTACAGGACAATGGCATGCAGCACCATTCCCACTTAAAGCACAAATTCTCTACACGCAAACCAGGGGATGTGGGCTGCTGTACTATTCCCTGTCCACAGAGGGAGCCGTGAAAGTAGATGGTAATCTTAGCTGACAGGCGGGCCTGTGGGAACCTGTCAGCAGGTAGGAACAGAGCCTGCTCAGCATGTTAATATCTACACAACTATGTCCGACGAGAGCAGATACACATGATGGTGACATTCCAAGCAGACCAGCTTCTTATCTTTACATAAATGTCTGTCTGTGTGTTTAAGTGTGCCTGAGAGAAAATGGGAGAAATAATTTTTTTCAAAATAGTTCTATTATTTACTCACCGCTTCTTCAAGCCATATGGTAGTTTTGCGTTATAAACAGACCGAGCGTTCAATCCTTCTGTCGTAGTTCTCAGTATCATTCGCATTTGTGTGGTGAATTCAAATGTGGAGCATCAAGATGTGTTGTACCGAGTTTGACAAGCACATAGATTCTCCTGCTCCATATTTAAAAGGTAAACAAGTGCAAATGACATTGGAGCTATGACAGATTGAAAGCTTTTCAATTAAATCAAATTAAATCAATTAATCTGGCGGCCAGCATGTTTGGTCTGCTTTTATGGAACTTTATATTATTTTAGAACAATTAAGTCTCTATTAAATAAAATCAAGTCCCTATTTATTATAATAAATTTAACTAATAAATAAAGTGCAACCTAGCCATCCTGCAAAATATCATGTTCCATTTAAGAAATTAAGTCACAAGGTTTTGAAACCAGTGTTATTAACAAACTATTAGAACTATTGTCCTCAGTCATTGAAATAAAGCAGAAATTAAATAAAATATACATATTAGATGAAAATCTTAAACTTAAAAACCTCAGAAATGCTGGCAACTAATTGAAATAAGTTGAAGTACTAAAATTACTAAAACTGACAATTGAAGTTATATAGAAATATTAAAAAAAACAAAAAATTAAATGACAAAAGCACATAAATTACTAAAACTTAACCTAAAATTAAATTAATACAGAAACAAAAGCCAATTTAAAAAAAATCTATAAATACCATAATAGTATAATACAAAAATAAGTTATTTTAGTATTCCTTCCAACTTTGTGAGATATGATTGTCTAATGTATCTGAGTGCCAAGAGAAACAATTTGTGTATGTGACTGTCTAGCTGTGAATAAAACCTTCAAATCATTTTAACTCACACACACACAGTCGGCACCCTGGAAGGAGGGGGCGTGTCTAAGTAGAATCATGCAACCAATCAGAGGAGTTCTCTAGTCTAAACACTGAAGTAAACTGAGAAAGCTGAGATTAAGACGATACTTAACATGTTCGCATTGAGCAATTTCCACCATAAGATAGAGCTTTTTGAAATCCTTTACACACAAGGGAGACTCGTCTTACTAAACCGGTTTGTTATCTCTACGCTCACAGACATCAGCGGAAGGGGGTTCTGGGGTTGAGAAAGTTTCAGTGATAACTGAGACATTCACCATGAGGACAGTGAGTAAACAGGGGAAAATTCCTCTTTGATGAAAATCATTCATCATGACAGGTTAATGACACATGTACAGACATGCGTTTGTAAGAACCAAATGGTTGACATTCAAAAAAAAAATGTTTAAGTGGTTATATGGTGACAAACAAATTGGGGACATGATGAAACATGCAAGTGAAAAAAGTGACTTAAAAACTAAGTATTCCAAGTATATGTCACACGCCATAAACTGCGCATTATGATGACAAAGGGTGGGTGGGTGAATGAATGATGAAAAGAGGAAAGGACGCAAAAAGTGGGTTCTGGTGACACTGAACACAACGGTGAAGGATGGGTTAATCGCCATGCTCCTTGAGGTGCCAACTAGGACGCATTGGTGCAGAGTGATGCGGCAAGGGTGAGATATTGCAGGGTGATGATGCGGGGAACCCTGCTGCTGCGTGATTGGCTGAGAGGGTGTTACCTGCAGGGTGGGGAGGGGGCGGGGTAGGGTACCGGAGGGCCCCACGCTCCTCCTCTCCTCCTCCAGAGCTCGAGTCAGACGCTCAAACTGCATCTCCTGCTCTCGCACAGAGGCCAGGAGAGATGCGGCATTCTCACACTGCTCCATACACACTGAGAGAAAGAGGACAGGGTTACACACTCGCACACATCATGAGATCGAGCACCTTGCGCACTCCACACGTGCCTTGAAAACACAGAAACATGCGCTCCACGCAGACAACAAATACACAGCTTAAGAAGGTGAGCACCATGTGACCCATGCGGTAAGCTAAATCGAGAAACAGTAACCGGGAGAGACAGAAAAGAAATGTGAGAGATAGAGAAAACATGACAGACAGAAAATAAAAACTGTGAAAAGACAACGCTAGCGAGTCAGGTGCTAACAAAGCACTTCAGACGCAGGTGTGATCGCGCTGCTACCGCTGAGTGACAACACACAGAGGAAACCAGACCGGTTTCGAGCTCGCAGATAGGAGAGTGATTCAGACGCTGTGTGAGAAGAGATCGTGTAGAGGCAGGAACGACGAGTGCAGACACAACAAGAAATGAGCCAAGGTTTATTCAAATCAAAAGTGGCTCCACAAAACCGTACCGCAACTAAAGAAGCTGTCCGTTCTGCTGTGCTGGCCTTTCTGGAGGCCATTTCACTGTCTGACAACTGGAAACAAACTCAGTGTTTTAATGATCAAGCCATTACTAAATAGCACTGCAGCAGTACCATGGTACATTTAGCAATGGGATCATATATTTATAAAGTAGCCTACTTCAATGTTCAAGTTTGAACAGTTTACCATGGTGAATGACCATGATGAATAGTAATATCATAGCACTTTTAGATAAACCAAAGTACTGAATCATAACATTTAAAATAACATAGCTTCAAATAGCTTCAGAAAATACTGATACAGGTCCCAAAGAAAAAAAAAAAAACTTTGTAGGCAGTATCTGCTCACTGCATCTTCACCCTTAACTGGTTTTAAAATAAGACTATTAATAGCCAACATCTACAGTGAATTTTATAAAACAGCTGGAGATGCTACTCTGAAGGCTCAGAGGACAGCTTTTATTATTCGCTGTTAAACATAGAAGCTCCATTGTTAGATGTGGAACTTATCAGGATATCAGTAGCGTAGTGTATAAATAACTATTTCTGTGAGTTCACACAGCATTTGCTCATTAGCGCCAGTGATCTGGGTGGGGTGCAAACACTACGTGTGAACAGCAGATGGGGGGAAAAAAAAACTCTGGAGCTCTGGAGAGCTGATCTGAGCACTCATCTCAGCAGAGAGATGTATTCTGAAACAAGACTGATGTCATACGGGAAGCGGAGTCAATTCGAGCTACAGGTTGAAAGAGGTTTAAAAGGTTCCTTGGAAAAACTACAAAGAAACAGAGGGCATGGTGGCTTTACACAATCTCTATTATCTTACAATAAAGACACGTAAAGGGAAGAAAGTTAGAAATTAACCTAAGATATATTTTTCCGATCATTTCCAACTAAACTTCCTTTTTTGTTTTTGTTTTTTACGGTTTATTACGGTTAAGTCAAAGTGAAAGAGAAATAAGCCCTTACCTGTACCTGCCCTTGTCCACGAATCATTATGCTTCACTTCAAAAGATAATCAAAAAATAACTCGTGCATAAGGTTGGGTATCGTTTGGGGGGGTTTTTCGATACCGGTGCCAAAACGATAGGCCTACTTTTAAAACGGTTCCAGTGCCTAAACCGTTACTTATTAAAAAAGAAAGAAATAAAAATTCCCCAAAAAATTATGGATTGGCCATTAGCACTATAAACACATGATGTCTGTTTCATTCATACTGGACGCCAGAGGGCGCCCTCGCACAGAAAATCCACATATTCAGTCACAGAAGTAGCGGAACTCAGGACCCTCCAGGAAATCCCTTATATCAAATATGGACAAAGGCATAGCTATTATAGCTGTAACTGAGTAAACAGAACATATAAAAATTTTGAATGATAAAACAAAGACAATAAAAACTCTACTGCGACATATAGTTTATCTGTGTTATTCAAGCCATCTCTGGTATTTTCATAATGATTAAAGGCACAATATGTAAGATTTTTTAATTAAAATATCCAAAAACCACTAGAAAAGTGTTATATATTTTGCTGACTTGTGTACTTACATTATCCCAAATGTTTCGAAGAATGTTTAAATCTAGAGAAATAAGCGATTTTAACTAGTGACACAGACCGTGTCCATAGTGTCATTGTGTCGCCTGCCAATGACATCATACACCCTCGATTTCCGGTTTTGTTTTTTAGAAAACATGGAAACACCAAAGACGCTTTAATATGTTATGCGTTTTATTAGACAGGTGACGACTGCACAGAGTAGCATTATAACAGAACTTTCAAATGTATCTAGTGTGATAAAACAGCGCTGCTTTACCACACATACTCACGACCGGAAGGAGCGGAAGCAGTCAACTGTGGCATAATAAAAGCTCCGCTGCATTCGAGCAGTGAGTATGTGTGGTAAAGCAGTGCCGTTCACGTTCGTTCATCGGCCTCGTTTCGCTTCGACGGCTTTCAGCCTCACCCTGCTTCATTCTACTACATTAATAAATCATTAGCTCATCCATGAACATGATTTCTGCCCGAGTCCCGTCAGATTGCATCGGCTGTGGGGATGAAGACCACAACTCCCATGATTCCACACTCAGTCACGGAGTCATCAAACTACGCCTTTGTCTATTTGTTTATTTTTAATACGCGCCCTCTAGCGGCGAAAACTTACATAGTGTGCCTTTAAGCATATTTATAATCCATTGCTAATCAATGTATTATTTTTAAAGTAGCCTATGGAACATATTTTCTGCCTCATTCCGTGACAAGAAGCTACATCAGATCACAAAAGGAAGCATTTAACTGGTATTGTGGAGTAAAAAGCTTATAATGTTCTCTTTTGTTGGACAACAGGTTTAGAAATGTGAATACAAGGGAGGTTTAGCTTTAGGCATTTTAATTGTTTAGCTTAGTTAACGGAAGGCTACCTGCTGCCATCAGAGCAAGTGTAATTACTGCATTCACGCACTCCTGAATTATTACGTGAATTATTTTTCACGTGCGGTGCCAGTGATGATGCTTCTTATGTCCATTTCGGAGAACCAGAGGACAAATATTTCAATCGATCGCTCAGGCATGGCACCGAAATGAGGCACCGAAATCTGCGTTCTGATTCGGTTCTAGTACATACCGGTTACATAGGTACCGGTGCCATATTGGTACCGGATTTCAGTACCCAACCCTACTCGTGCACAAAAATGAATGGGCCAAATGTAAAAACAAAATTCCAAAACTGCAACAAAACAACTGATAATAAACAGGCAAACTTGATAACCAAAATCCCCCAGAAATCACCTGTATGCAAGTACGACAACATAACTACTTCTACAGGAAAAGTACACTCAGAAACTTAAAATTGTGAACATTTACTGAATCTCATGCCATTACTACTGCACCATGACTGATTTGTAAGTGATATCTGGTAGTAGTCCATTAATATGGACTTTTTTTTTTTTTATTACCAATGCCGATATCTTACTGTAAATTTATATAGGCCTAAGCCTATATCGTTCACCCTGCTCTCCATTTAAAAAATTTTGGGTAAATGGAAAAAAAAAAAAAAGAAGCATTATATCTTCAATGGAATGCATATTTTTTTCACATAGTGTTTACTAAAAATTAGAAATAATTTGAAAATGAATCAATTTGAACTTGATAAAATAAATCAGTAAAATAAACAGATTCATACTTCAGATAAGAAGTTCTTGATTCTTTAATTCCAATGTAGTATGTTTCACAAATTAATAAGCTGTTAAATTATGAACAAAGAAATGTAACCAGCAGTGCACTCAGTAATCCGGTAAATTTGTACACACTGGAAATCATTCTCCAAAAAAAAAAAAAAGTGGCAAAGTGGATATAGTGCAGCATAGCTTGAAATCAAGTATTTCAAGCATCTCCAGTGACAGCCAAACTCTCTTGTCTGCATCCAATTCACACAACTTGCATCCTTCACGTCTCTCATACAAAAAATGAAAGGCAAACTAAGATTGAATATGTGAAAGTAGGCCTGGGCGATAACACGGTATTGATATTTATCGACGGTACACCTTCTTCGATAACGATAGTATTTGCATTTGAATGTAAGGTGTGCATCAGGGAGCATCATCAGTGGCGTGCGAGATGCGGTGATGTAAGTGACGTTGTTGCATTTTAATGTTTTGTTAGTCTAGCCCACGAGATGCGCCGCTGCGGTGTTATTCATTCAAAATATTAGAGAAATATAGAAGCTCAATGCGGAGAAGATAATTGCTAAAGATGATAAAGATAAGATTAAAACCGAAACCAAGCCATTCACGCAGGACAAATATGACTGCTGAACTCGCGTCTCACAGAAGAGATGTATAGAAAGCCATGCAAAGTTAAAACTGTTTAAAGGGGTCATATGATGCTGCTAAAAAGAACATTATTTTGTATATTTGGTGTAATGAAATGCGTTTATGTGGTTTAAGGTTCAAAAAACACATTATTTTCCACATACTGTACATTATTGTTTCTCCTCTATGCCCCGCCTTTTTGAAACGCATTGATTTTTACAAAGCTCATCGGTCTGAAAAAGCGAGGTGTGCTGTGATTGGCCAGCTATCCAATGCGTTGTGA